AGACACTTGCATTCAGAAAGCACGGCACTGGAGCCGCTGCCAGAAATCTGCAGAATTTTATTACCGGGAGAATGTCCCCCAAAGTTACCCAACAGAAGAAAGCATGTGCGTCGAATCCAACGACACAATGGCTTTCCATGTTTTTCCGACCTTGAAGCTAAAACAGCCCTTGCCTGCCAAAACTTGGAAATTTTATGACCGCGAGCAGTCGCATTGCATCATCATTGGGAAATGGTACCTTCGGTACCGTTCTTATACGAAGACGCGCAAAAATTGCAACATTAATCCAGCAACAGCTGCGGGCAGCTTTGTGGTCAAGAGTAGCGAGGGAACCAAAACTTGACGAAGCAACACTCTGGAAGATTCGTCAATCAGGATGTGGCTGGTGTCAGGGGTACCTCCGGTACGACAACTCGCCACAAAGAAACAAAATCTGCAAGAATTAACACAAATGTCTGCAGGAGCTTTGCTGCGTAGCCAAGCGCAGAATGAAAAGCAGACCACGGCATGCTTCTCTTGCCCTGAAGAGTCAAGGGATGTAAAATTTGACATCACGTCGTATGAAGCTTCGCTGAGGTCACGAGCCATGGTACTGATCATATAAGCAGTCAAGAAACACCCAAGTACAAAACTACTATCACTCCAACCACTCCAAAACCTGTGCCACGATTACATCAGCGGTGCAAGCTTCGCAACGGTCAAGAGTAAAACACATAAAAAAGAGCACCTCTGAGCAAGCCATCCATGTGAGGTTCAAAACGAACCACCCAACAGCTGTCAAAAGTTGCTAACACAGTACAACAAGTCGGCTCAGGTGCTTCGTGACTCTGAAACGTTTAAACTTGGGGCCCAGGAAATCACGTGAATTTAGGCCTTGCGGCTGCGAGGTGCGGCTGATCCTCAATGAGCACAAGAAGCAGCGCGGAGGCCGCGTCTGGAGAACAGACACTCAGAGCGTGTGAGACAGACATAGGCAGGTGCCACAAGATGCTTCTTCGCTCGGCCAGCTTCATCTCCTCTAGATCTAGATGACCGTCTGGATCAACCCGCAGGACAAGAGGCGAATCGCCTTTCCATGCAAGACCTCGAATGCTCTGGGACTGGGGGTACTTGTAGCTCAAGGTCCGCTCTGCACCCCATCCGTCGTTCTTTTGCCCGTACTCGACCAGCTCCTTCGCATGAGTGGTAAGCAGCTTGCCCTCTGAAGCATGCAACGGCGCGGCCAAATGTTGCGCAACTCGGCCATCTCCCAGCAACAAGGAAGCCGTGCTGCAATTCGTCACCATTGAACCTGACTGTGCATTTAGGAGCACGATGGGATGACAACCTGAAAGGTCACAAGTGGCACTGATGGCTTCGATCGGGCCATCCAGTTTGCACTCCCTCTTCACAGCTGACCGGCCACTAGCCGTTGGCCAGATCTCGTAGATGCTATATCGGTCTGCTACAAAAATGTGTCCGTCAGCGCAGGCGAGACTGTGTGGAGTGAAGAGTGGTGGAAACTCCACTTCCAGAGCTGCAACGCTTGCCCTATGTGACTCCTCGAGAAAAAGCTGAACGGTGTAATGCACTGTCGCCCATACAGTCACAGAGATCCACATACACATGCAAACGCACAGGCCCTGGAGCACTGCTCTGCGTCCTCGAACAAACTTTCTCTGGCTTCGTTGCTTGTACGCTTCCATGTCTTCTGTGCTCGTGAATTCTTCCTCCGCATTCTTTTCCAGTGGTGTTTTCGCCGCGAGCGCCGAAGTCTCTCTGCACTGGCTATGCTTACAAATTGCAACTGCGATGGCAGCCCAGAACCCAAGGCGGAGCAAGAATGACCCTGGCACCAATGCTGCATTTGCCCTGGGATCGTTAAAGCTGCCAGCAAGTGTGGCACAAATGTCGCTGGTGGCCAGGAGCAAAGGACAGAGCTTCGATTTACCATGTCCGTAGGCCAGGAAGACATTGATCATAATGAAAAGAAACGCTAGCGCCACCGTCGCTGCAAGGAGCTGCTCCATGAAGTAGGACGTGTGCCCCAGAACTTTTCCTACGGTGAACGCCGCAGAGGCCTCCGCAAAGGAGATGGTGCCAAGGCCCATGCAGATCTTGCAGAAATCTTCATGGGGCTTCCACAGTAAGATAAACTCATGAAAATTCTTTAGATACTCCACATCCCTGCAGCTTGTCAAGTTCTCCAGCCCAGAGGATTCCTCTGTGTCACAAGTCTGAAGCTCTTGATCCGGCTTCAGTACTTCGGGAGGCTCACAGCTATCACCAAGATGCTCATTGGAGGTGCAAGGCTCCGACAAGTTTTCAGCCACTGCCAAAGCCGAAAATTCTGGCTTTGAATCCAACTCCGCATCATTTTGGCTTCTGGGTTTCGAACTGTAGTCTTCGGCTTGCCCCGGCACTCGCAAAAGGCTTCCCAAGCCTAACCTCTCAATGCGCTGCGCCTGCTCTAAGTAGTTGTGGGCCTTGTCAGGATTGAACGGCCGAAGCTTCTCGGTGAGCAGCAATGCGGTGCTCTCATAGGCTGATCCTTGCGCCTTGATTCCGAAAGTCACTGCTAACATCAGGCAAACCACCGCAGAAGCGGCACTGGTGTAGAAGGTGTAGACGACAAAGGCCGGGCAAGCTTCGTCGAAGCCAGAAACTGCAAAGGCAAGTACGGTCGAGCTCAACATCATCGTCGCCACCATCATGTAGTTCCCGATGTGATGCATCGATGCTCCCTTGAGCTGCAGAAGATCCTCTCGAGCAGACGCCACCCAATTCGCGTAGTAATTTTTCTTCTGGTACTGATGGGCTTGGCGCCATCCCACTCCTTGACCGAAGTTGTCGCGATTGTAGCCAGACCATGCGAAGAATGACTGGATGGTCGTTCCGGCAGTGGCGATGGCAGTCAGGACGTCAATGATTGCCATGCTTATCTACTAGACGCTAGTCGATATGAATGAATGATAAGGTGCTGTGCCCGCATGTAGGCCAATCGCAACAACGGTCGGGACAAGGGAGTCTGTACGCAGGAAAAGGGGGGGGGGGTCTTCGCCACTCAAAGACGCTTGCCTCTCCGAATCAATCTCTTCCGCTCAACTGCTTGAGCCGCAATTGGTGCACACTAATGCTCTGAGGCGCAAGACATCTCAAACGTTTCACACATGTGGCCTCGGAAAATGGAAAAACGGATGGTTGGTGGTGATAGTCTGGTGGTCATGAGGATCATGCTGGTGATGATGACAAGCCAAAGGCGAAAACAAAAATGATGAACATGAGAGGCGAAAGGACCGCGGGGATATGTCCTGTTCGATGGTGATGATGACGTGCAATGATTACATAATATGATGATGACGATGATGATCGTGATGCAGCTTTGGTTTCTCGTGCTGAGGTTCAGGTGGTTCAAGCAGCTTGCTCGAAATTGGCTTTGGTCAGAATCTTGAAGTGTTCGAAGCCACGACAAGCATTGACGCACCTGAGGCAACTTCGAGACCGGCCGAAAGAGAGAGGGTGTGAATGTGTGTGCGTGTGCGCGCAGACCACGTGAGTGTCCGCATGTGCACTGCGCGGGAAACTGTTCATTCAGTGAAATGCAGTTTCCGTGTTTCGCACTGTGGACTGGACAAGCCTCGACCGCAACAATACAGTCCAGCAAGATTCGTTCTACAATGTGAAAAGCATCTCGTAGATGACGACCAGGGTCGGTTGAACCACACTTGCGCATCCGAGGCGGCCGAACAACATTGAAACATAGATAGTTTCATGCATACATGCGTGAATACATGCATGCATACATGCGAGCATACATGCGTGCATACATGCGTGCATACATGCATACATCATCCTACATACACACATAGGTATGTACATACATGCGCATGTATGGAGGAGCGCATGCACATATGTACAAACGTACTTACATGCATGTCATATGCGCACACACACACAGGTATGTATGTATGTATGTATGTATGCATGCATGTATCTATGTATGTATACACTTTGCAGGTGGGCGGGGTTTGGGAAGTGCTTGGTGGGAGATATTTTCGACAAGCAAAGTCTAGAGCCCAAACATCCGCCGAAGGAAACCACGCTCCTGACCTGGCCGGGAGCCATGGTGCACTCTGACCATCAGGCTTCTCATCTCTCCCAGACTCCTGCCTTCTCTCGCAAAGCCACCGGCTCCTGAAGTCGGACAGAAACCGTCCGTTTGCAAGCCTTGCAACATAAGTGACATGCACGCCTTGACTGCCCGGTGAAGCGGCCATCGCAGCCCGCAAGCGCCTCAGCCAACAGATGGCTGAGCATGTCTTTCTTGCAGTCGACCATCCGACTAGAGAGCGCACCGCTGCGCAGTTCCACCGGGGCCACTTGGTTCGCCGCCCTACCGGAGGGCACAATTGCCAACCAAGACAAGTTGAAGCAGCGTGTTCCGTTTCCGCCTGTGACATCTCTTCAAACTTGCCGCACGAGGCTTCAACTAAAGCAACTAACACTTCCACAGCAAGACCTGCTGCAAGCTTCTGACAACTGGCGGCAAAGTGGCAGCACGCCCTCCCCAAAGCGACCTATCTCTCCTGCACACTCTGTGCACTGGACCACTCATCGGCAGTGCTATCCACTTAACTTCCTTTTCGCACGGTGCTGCCGGCCTGCACACTGTGCACCTCGTTCGCCTCCAATCCTGGGAGGATTGCCTTGAGTGAGCCAGGACCTCGTCCAATCCAGGCAGCTGCTCTTTTGATCTGATTTGCTATCGCTCAGTTTCTCATGCATCACAGATTTTGGGATGTTCTGAAGCTGTAAGGCCGGCACAGGCCGGATCAGTGGCCAATTCCTGCAGAACCGCGAGACAAAGGCGCGCCTGCATCACGGCCGCAAAGTAAAGTGCGAGCTTTTCGTGTGCAGTCACCGCAACGAAACGGTCCATCTGAACAGGCTTTGCAACGCGCCTCCTTGTCACTGTCTGCTGCGGATGCGACCGTGTGCTGCACCACACCTGATGCTGAAAGAAACAATCCAACTTGAAGGAATGAAGCTGGGAACCCAAGCATGCATTATCCGTGCCTTGCAGAACATCAAGGCAGGATACCTCACCACCAACCGATCACAGTAGAATCCTCTAGTGCCTATGTTCAAGTCCACAAGACATCCTGCAGTAAGGCCAGCACTGGAGGTGACGCAGACCCCTCAGCCATGCTTAGTAGGGTTGTCGTGTCTGAAAGCCATCAAGGTCGGAAAATCCCGCCTTTCCCACACAGAAGCTCCGCAGGGCTGTGATGAAGATGTGCACATGCTGCGGAGAGAACCGAGGCTCTCCTGCCTCCTCTTGCGCAAGAAGCTGCAGCAATTCTCAGCCTGAAGTCTTCATCTCAGGCAATGTTGCTCCTCTGTGTCGGTGCTCCATGTGTGGCCTTAAGTGGTCGAGTCATTTTGGGAAGCAACCCTCAAGCTGCAGAAGCCTTGAAGAGTCGAACCCCGAAGCCAGAGCTACTCCAAAGCCAGCAACTTCGTGCACCAACATAAGCAAGCGGCACAAGCTGTCAAAGAGTCGCAGGCCTGCCTGCGGTCGCTTGGGGGGTTGAGGATGTAAGATTGCTGATGGAATTTCTAGCGCAATGACATGCATGGCTCTTCAATTCTGCGTTCGAGGTCTAGATACCTTCAGACAAAGAGAGGCAGTCTGCGCATCGTCTGGCTCAGCAGTCTACGTTGGGATGCGAGGCTGGAGTGACAAGCCTTTCTTTGGGTATGCATGCTACTGGTAGCAGGCTGTAGCACACAGTCAGATGGCAGATTTTACCGAAGCACCGCTACTCCGATCCTCGCCAAGGCTCGCCTGAAAAAATTGCATAGATCTCGAGCACAGCGTTGCCCTCTCTATCTCTCTCAAGTGAGCTGGATCCTGCAGAACCAGCTCTCTGGCCGCCGGCACATCATCCACAGGCCTGCATACAGCCTGAGCCATGCGCAAGCCAAGAACAGTTCGGGATATGGACGTGCTTCTGATGTACCCGGACAGCTTCGTGCTCCCTGCAGTTGCGGTTGGGATCAAAGACCAATGGGCTCGGATCTCCATAGTCAGGGCAGGAAGCGACCAGGACAACAGCAGCCCACAAAGCAAGGAGCCTGTGCGAAGGCTGATAGGGCCAGGAAGGTAGCGTCGTGTGCCACTGTGCTTGGAGTGAGCAGATCCTGTCACCAGAAGCATAGTATGGGGGATTTGATAGGTAGACGAGCCCTTTAGGGAATTTTGCAGTACAATGATACAGCGACTGCATGGGGATACTAGACGTACTAACTATTCGGACTACATCTCAATGCTCTAACGCCACTCGCACAGTCTTCCGAACCAGTCCTGCACCGTCTCGGCCCCTCCCGACAGCTTCTCCGCCAAAGCCATCAAGGCGGTTCGTCTTTCCTGGTCATCTTGGGCTGCACCAGAAGGCTCCCGACAGCTTCCCCCCGGGACTTCCCCCATCCTCGAAGAGCTGTGGAATGTTGTGGAATGGTACGACAGCAACAGATCTCGATGTTTGTCGGCGCCTCTTGGCTGGAAGCTTCCTCACTCTTGGGCAAGGCCTCATGCTAAACGTGTCGCATGGAAACGATGTGCAGACCCTATCCACTCTTGTCTTAGAAGAGAGCCGCCACGCGCGAGTAGAGCCCAGCCAGGGTGGAAAGGTACCTGAGTCGCTCTCAGTCCTCTGCATTTGCTGCTGGTGTAACAGTGTAACCAAACAATCAGGGAACTGCAGACTCTGCTAAAAGACGGTGCATCAGCTTTGCAAAGCCTGGCTGCAATGCGACTTCCGGCAGCTCTTCTGGCGGCCGTGCTGCCCGAGCCAACGCGGATGCTGCAGAAGGCAGCAGGTCAGGTCGCTCCAGGTGAACCTCGCACTCTCTGACAAGTAGAGTACCAGGCTGCCTCTCAGGCCGACATGTCCCAAAAAAAGGTCCCTCCCGTGCAGGTGCCTGACTGAACAGTTCAGCTGCGCGGCGGATGTCTGCCTGTGGAAGTTCATGCACTCGATGCCTGAGCTCCTGCAGAAGCAGCAATGAAGGCATGCGGCTGTCTTCTTTGTTGTGGGACCGGCGGAGGGCCCACCTGAAATGCAAAGTCGAAGAAAGGAGGGCACGCGGCCTGGGCATCGCAGGAAGCCACCCACCTGCAAGGCTGAATTACGTTAGCCCGGGAATGCCGGGATTCATAACGGGACTTGTAACATGGCAGTGTGCCGAAGGTGCAGCAAGGGAGCTGCAAGATCGAGACAAAGCGGGAGGCCATCTCCTACGGGAGAGAGAACAACAACAAGCGCTCTCTACCTCCTAAATTTTTAGAACCTCTCCTCGCCGCGCGGCAGCCCCGGCAGTGACTGCAGCCTTTCGGGCGAAAGCACTGCTTGCATCGGCTCGCACTGTGTGCCTGTGCACCCATGAGTTTTTCCCTCGAAGCTGCCGTTAATCTCAACGCTCACTTGATTTAGATTTTGTCTGCCTGTCTCGGAGTCTTTCCCATCCATTGCTTACAAGCGGCGCCAGTTGTCTGAGCAGGCTGATCCAGGCCTCTGGCAAACAATGCAGCGTCCTGCAGAACCATGCTAGCTTGAGCCGCCCTGCTCTTCCCAGTTCATGAGATCACTGAACCACCAAACGATCCCTGAACCCGAAACCCTAAACCCTAAATCCTAAACCCTAACCGATCCGTTAAGCTCACATTTTTTGGGATAAGGGCCTCCTGCCCCTCCAGGCGAAGCAGGGGTCCAGCCATCTCCAGCCTCGACCATACTATGCAAAGAGCTTGGATGCTGCATGATATACTATATTATTTTATATTATATAATCTTTGAATATTTTAAATAATATTATAATATATTATGGTATATAATATAATATAATACTATATTATATTATGCCTGTCTGAAAGAAGTTAGCAAGCCGGGCGTGCTGCCATCTGAGCTCCTCGTCCTGGCAGTGGTTGAGCAGACCTTGGGCATTTGGGCCTCAGCTCCCACATGCCCGCAGGGGCTCACAGCTGCAAGATCACTGGGGGCACCGCGAAGCACATGCGAAACGAAGCTCGAGGCTTCCTCCGACTGCGGCCTGGTCTTCGCATGAAACCCGTGGACTCGGTTCAAGACAAGGATCCGCAAAGTTTTGCCCCAGTTTCAACTGGCCGGGCCCGCGGGAGCGCGGCTGCCAATCGCGCCAGACCGGCGAGGCAAAGCCCAAGGTCGTCCTGGAGCATGCGAACTGGCACAGAAGCAGCCTGAAATTGGGAGGAGCACGCTTTCGCGCAGGTTCCTGCAACTCGTGTCGCAGCGTCTGCTCGGTCGAGGAGGCGAGCACAGGCCACGTGGCCTCCAAACAGCTCGACACCTGCCAGAGCGGTAGAAAAGAGGGTCCGTTGACAGGCGAGGCGGAGTCCGAAAATACTGGCACTCACCATTGGCAGACCACGTTAGCGCACCGCTCTAAACCTGCATTCTCGTGCCCAGCAGACGGGAACATACATGGAGAACACCAGGCAAAAGTTCGCCATGAATCCTAAGTCATTAGCTAAATGAATCCTAAGTCATTAGCTAAGCACCATCGAATCCAAAACATGAGGAATGGCTGGTAAGCCCCAAGCCCTGGAGGAGCAATGGGCAGCGAAGCTAAGACCCATAACAGTGATGTGCAAGGCAGGCAAACCTGAAAGCCTGACAGAAGGGTTCTCTACGAGTCCTCCACATCGAAGCGCTTGTAGATTTATCAGTCACGACATGCAAAAGCCTCTCGGGCTACAGGTAAGCTGTAACATGAGTGATTGTACAGCATCCCTCCATTCCGAAATTGCGCCATCACCAGCACACTTGCTTGTTGAACTCAAAACTGAGAACACCTGGCCATGAAGGCTTGGAGCCTGCTGTTTCTGAGGTCCTTGGAGCACGGCTGAAAGTTCGGCAAGCGCCCTTGCAAAGTCCTGCCACCGCAAGCAGCTGTCTTTCAAACTGCCGGCTGTTGCCCGAAAGCGCTGCAGAGACAACTGGTCAAAGCAGATCAAAGCAGAGTCTCACACTGCGGACAGAGTCAGTTCATCAGTGCTGGATGCCCTCGTCTACACTTTGACGATGGCTTCGGTCCCATAGGGATCGCGGCGAGAGCTCGGCAGCGCGACCCCGTGCCGTGCCAGCAACGGCCTCGTGGCAATCTCGGAAGACTATTTCAGGAAAGCAAAGATGGCTGTCGATGCATGGGGACACGCATGCCTGAGGTTGGTGCTGCAGCAGCGTCCGGGAGAACAAGTGGCCTCGTCCCACTGAACAGCGTCGTCATGATCCTTTGAGTCCCTCAATTAATATTTAGTTATACTATTATGTATCCCAAAAGCCCTGTTGTAATTCAATGGTCTACGAGACCCTCCGGCCCCACGATGACCCGAGTGCCGGACGACCGAGCGAGGCCGACCAAGGCGTTGCAAAAGTCCTGCCACCAGCTCACGGCCGGCGCTTCCAAGAGCCAGTGCTGAAGACTGTATGATATTACATTATATTATAGCATATTATAGTATAGTATATTATAGTATAGTATTATATTATATTATAGTATATTATCTTGTATTATCTGCACACGCTATGACGGCAGACTCTACTATAAGGCCGTATATAAGAATGTGTAGCCACATGACATACTTTCGTGATATGCTGTAGCCATAACAGTACTTGAGCAGCGGCCGACGAAAGCTTCGTGTAGGTGGACTGAAGACGTTGGCTCTGTCGTGCTTGCTGCGAGCAAGAGCGACGAAGGCAAGCTGGATCGTCGGGTGTGCTACCGACATGCTCTTTGTATGAGCGCCTTGCTAATCTCAGTACACCAAACCCAACACTGCTCTCCACATGGACGCATTCGTAGTAACAGGGTAGTATTAACTTAAGTGCACAAGGCGTAATTATGTGTATATATATATGCACATGCATGTAAAGAATTATATATATATATATGTATATGTATATATACATACATACATACATACATACATACATACATACATACATACATACATATAATGTATGTATGTACATATATGTAAACATACATATATTGATGCCGTATCACCGTATCATGTACATCATTAAGTCGTGCTTTCGGCTGCGGTCCTGCGAACTCAGCTCTTTCAGTGTTTCTACCTGTACTCGGAGCAGCACGGGTCTGTCTTGCCCGCGTTTGCACACCAGTTTGACAAACTCATGCCTTTCTTTGCCCTGCCAAGCAGTGAGACTTAGGATCGCGCACGTTCCGCCATTGCTTTTTGCAGCGCCATGGCAACATCGGCAGCAGCGGCCTCCCATCGGAACTTAAAAGGCTGCACTTCAACTTCAGCTGTCCAGAAGCATGCGGAGCCCGGCCTCATGAGCTGAGTGCGATGCTTGGCTACCAATAGCTCCTTGACGAGGGCGTGGTTCAGGGTCGGGGGTTCAAAGTTGGAGTTAAGATCAATTAAGGCTTCAGGATTGGGTTGAGAGGCACAGGGGCTGCAAAGCGTCCTCCCATGACTTATTGCAAAAAAAAGCTGCAACAGGAGACTGCTCTCCTTCCGCCCGGCCACTGGGCGCACTCCTGGCAGCCGCCAGGCGCGCCAGCCTCAGACCATCTCAGGGCGTTCGAAGGCTCGAGCTGAGCTCCTCCGGGGCCCGGGCGCGGCGGCCAGGTCCGGTGCTTCCAGAAGTTGGGATCCTTGGAGTGCGTAGAGAAACGTAGGGTGAGAGAGAGAGCGCTCGAAAGAGCCCAAACCCAGCCTTCTGCGGCGCGGGAGGCCACGGAGAGCGTTGCGACCTGAAGCCACCGAGTCGGTGGCACATGTTGGAGTTGGAATCTCGTCAGTTGCTGGGCTCCACACTCCGGCTGCTTTCCCGAGACCCTGTCAGGCAGGCAACACAGCCACAACACGCCGAAGAAAGCTTTCCCCGCTCAACATCCATCCTTTCGCCTCCATAGCGATATACGCAGCCAGAGCCTCACGTGCATGCACCTGCAAAGACAGGACCGCGGCTTCCTCGCAGAAACATCTGAGAGATCTGGGAGTATGAGAAGATTTGGGCCTGGTGCCAGAGTCTATAGGGATACTATTGGGTGTAGGATTGCCTTTGAGATGGCTTACGCTGCTGATTCTCGAGCCTTTGTCCATGCATCGGAAGAAGGCAGGCGTTCCGAGACCACCTCGCCATATCTCCGAGCCTCGCCGGTGCAAAAACTACCGGCCAAGATGGTCTCCATGCATCCAAAACAGCAGACTCTCAATAACTTTAGAGCTCGAAAATAGCTGTAACGACGCAACTCTTCTTTCCAGCGAGTATCGCCTTGGAGCGGATGCTCGATCCAGCATGGCAGCATCGCATTTTCGCAGATGCTGCCACGAGGCACTCATTAGCGAGGGCACTCTGATAATCAGAGGCAACGTCTCCTACAGATGTCTATCACATCGACACACACACACCCATCTTCTTTCCAGAGCTCAGGCTTTGGAGCTGGAAAAAGCCCTGAAGGTGCACACCGATGCCAATGCTGATGTTTGTGCTGTTTCGATGCAATACAGATGAGCTGTCCATGGTGCACAGAATCTGGGGCAGACTAAAATTTAAGACTATGCATGTTTGCTGACGCCTCTCGTGAAAATCTAGCTTGTCCTGACATCTGATTGCTGCATCGTGAATGACAGGTTCGCTTACGCTTCGTCCGAAGCTTGCAGATCTCGGAAGAAAGCCCGGCAAGATCAACTCCGACTGTCAGCTCCTTCACAGCAGACTGCTAACAACTACACTGCGACGACCCTGTTCTGGCACGCGGAGACTTGATGTAACGCGTGGGCATGCACATACATGAGCAACTGTACAGAGTCGCTGTGCATCGACGCTCAGCAGAGACGCAGAGATTGATAAGCAGACAGCAGCAGATAGAATCAGATAGAAGACAGACATCGGAACGAGCGCAAACACTGTACATGTCAACTTAGTTCTGGATGCCTGAAATGCCCTTCCCCCCTCCTATCCCAGAGTCCTAGAAAAAAAACCGCTTAAACCCGACACCCCGCAGAGCTGGGTCCTGAATTTGGAGCGAGCGCCCTCCTGCAGCAAATGCTTTGCTCCGGTGTGCAGACATGGAGCATCCCCTTTGATTATTCAGACTTACAATCAGCTTCTTCTTCTTCAGAACTCACCATCATCCATGCACGCAGCCATCCATATCTATACCAATCACCATCATCTGCGCATCTGTGTCTGCTCGCCATTATTTTGTCGTTGTCACATCATCGAAGAAGAACTCATCATCAACAGCAGCAGCATTCGTAGAATAGTCATCAGTATCACCCTCGTCATTGTCTTCACACGAAAACACTTAGACTTACCTTTGTCCGTTTAAGGGGGTTGTTCTTTATTATGGGTTGCAGCCCGTAACTCGAAAATCGCTTTGTGCTTCGCCCTTGCGCGCTCTTGCGAGCACGCGGTTTCACACACATTCCCTCCCACCTTGAAGCCTTGATAAACCTTCTTACACTACTTATCGCCCTTGCGCTCGCCCTTGCGCCGTGCTGGTTTTGGAGCAGGTCCAAAACCTGCATCTACATATCAAAGTGCGCTGTTCGTCTACGGTCAAGAGGCGGGGGTTTAGAACCAGTCTCCGTTATCTTCGAGCCCTCACGGTCAGAAGTCACGTCCTGGTGGCGTGAGGCCCAACGCTGGAGGAGCTCTGCCGCGGATGCACCGAGCAGGCGGCGCAGGACATCGCAGCATGCCGAGGTCTCCTGCGGCGCAAGCGACGGTTTAGGGTCAAGGTCCTTTAGGTTACCTATAGTCTCCATTGTAGTTCCTTTTTGGGGTTACCTTTTAGGATCCTTAATAATTTTAGAATTAAATTGGTTAACCCAAAAAAGGAACTACAATGGAGACTAGAGGCAGGGTCGAATCTAGGGACGGCCAAGAGTTGCTGTGCAGAACATCCTCCCCGCGGCAAAGCAACCAGATGGATCTTCGCAAGAGCTCGCGGCAGTGCACCTGCGGAGCGGATACGCAGGAGCTCGCAAAATGGCACATCGAAGCCTGTTCGAATGGTTTCCGTGGGTTGCCTTGGATGAGATACGCCTTCCGTTGCGAAGAGCTCTGTATACCAGCGTTCCGCCAGTGAGAGGGGCGAGATGGATGTGTACTGCATCGGCGACGTATCCAAGTTTGCTTCGGCCGAACGTTTCAGTCGATGTCGGCGGTCCTCCAGCCGTCGAACGTATGCTCCGGCATCGCCGATCACCCGAAGTATTTCAATTAGCACATGTTTGCTACACCAGAAGGAGTGCTACACAGGACAGAACAGAAGTGGAAGGAACAGCGCGAGATCTGTTCAAGCAAAGTCTACAACGAGTCCGCGAGTGAACCCGAAGATTCCATCTCAATCTTTTTCTGTTTTCTGGAGATCCCAGGCGCAGCATCTGCTACGACCTTGAACCATATACAAGCACGAGAAAAGGTCAACCGGACCTGTGTCCCACAAACCCCAAACTCCCTGAACCCTGAACCCTAAACCATAAACCCTGAACCCTAAACCCTGAACCCTTAACCCTAAAATCCCAGAACTCCGCCGACCTGCTTGGGGCACTCGACCAGCACACGAAAGATCCCGCGGACCGTTGCCGTCTTTGGCACCTCGGGGACCTTACTCTTAGAGAGTTCAGCTCCGCAGACAGTAGGAAGAAACGTGATCAGATGCTCCCTGCGTGCTTGCAGTATCTTGCGATACTGTAACTCTGGACAGGCAATCGCCGTCCGGCTTCGATGCAACAGGGCTCATGTGGCTGAGATCGCAACCAGACCATAAGGATCCTGTTGCGGCTTAGGACTTTGCGGAAGTGCGGTTAAACAGCCTCCCGAAGAGTCGCCTCCACCACGCGGTGCTCGGTCTTTGAGACGTCCCCGTCACTCCACAAGCAGTCCTGCGACTCAACACGTCAGTCAATGCTTATTATCTTGGTACAGATCATGTTGCTTTATTAGTTCAAACGTCTATGTCATCAGGTGCTGGGCTGCCCAGAAGTCTGCTGACACTGCGTTGGCCCCGACGTCCTCGTACCTTACCTGCAAGCAGCGCATTCGCGCGGACTTGTCTCTCAACCGCATGATCTAACTCGATCACATCCATGCTTTGCCGCGTGCGCATGCAACACGAGCTGCGCATGTCCAGACTCTCTGGACTCTTCCATGTGTAGTCGAAGCTGCTGGCTGCTATGGGCTAGACTGGCTAGAACTGTCGCCTCTGGAGCCCTTCGATTAGCGTCCCGGTAGACTGCACGCTCACCTCGAGCACCTTCGTCTCGTAGCCGGCATCATATAAGCGACTCCTGCAAATAGCACATTCCTACACATTGCCTTCTGCTTGCAAGCACCATTTGGACTTGGGGGTTTCCGTTCGTTCTGGCCTCGTATATTCGGCGAAATAGTGAAGGAGTGAGCCCGGTGCAGATGCCAAGCACCCTTCCTGCCAAACAGGGCATCGGAAACACAGCGGTTGCGAAACGTGTGCAGGCATAAAGGTGGAGTCGGGAGCACCTCACAGTTGTCGGTCAGAATCCACGAACTCCTGAGCTGCAAAGCGCCAAAAACACGTCTTTCTGCCCAATTGCTTTTTCTTTGGCATGGTGTTGCATGCAAGAGGACACGTTGAATTGACCGTCGTGGGCATGGTTGGCAAAGCTATGCGAAAACAACAACCAGCTTTCTCACACAAGCTACAGACAGAGACCAAAACACGCCTTCGTTGACTTAGCAGGACGGACAGTCAACAGGGCCACCTACAGATACTTACAGCAAGGACGGTCAGATGCATAGGTAATCGCAGTGCCCGACATCAGATGCAACAAGGCTCAACAAGCGTCAATCAATGCAGAAGGAGACACGGGAGATGGCTTGCCGGGACAATGCCTTGCGAAAGTTGGGGCGCGGGCTGCTCTGCGGTGTCGATCACGCTTTGGGCCATCTCCTGCTATGCAAAAAATTGCGACAAAAACACATGGCCCACAGAACTTCGAAAAAAAAGAGCACCCTGTCCATACGAAAGTCAAAGGGGAGAAGAACTGCTCCCTTCTCGCCAGCGAACCGTTTCCTCGAAAAGAACAAGACAGGACAGCCGAAAGGGGCGCGACATGGTGAACTGCTCATTAAGCACACCATGCCCACGTATGTCTGCTTGGGGAACAATACAGCAGTGCACAGGTTCCAGGTCCATGAGAAATTCATCTGCTGCATCTGTGACCCCTGGCAGAATTCCATAGCTGGAGATCCAAACCAAGAACATGAACATCAGAAACTCAAAGAGCACCATAATGCCAATCTAATCCAAACTTAGCACCGATAAACCACAAGGCTGGTTCAGTCAGGACCGATTCAACTATTTGGCTTCAGCACAATTTGTTGGCAAGTAATCGCAACTGGCTGCAGCCGGCACACTGCAGGGCGACCGTGCTGAAAGGGATGACCAATGCACCGGCAACAGCAACCTTCCAGTGTCATGTCACGCCCTTTTACTTCAGCCGTCTTGCAAAGGAGTGGCCTGATGGTACGCTTCGATAGCCTGACGCGCTCTCCTGGAGACGGGAAGCTGCTCTCGTGAGTGCTGCCAAATGCTAAGACAGGGAGCCTGAGGATCAAAATATCATCCATGTTCAGCGGATTGCAAGGAGCATGGAAGAAGAGCACCACCTTCGCTCCAACGAAAATGAACACCCGGGGTTCAAACATTCGCCCTGCGGAGAGCGCAACAGGAGCCCGGCAACTGTGAGTAGCGGCGAGATGGAGAACTCATCCGCGGCTGCTTCTGAGTTCGACTTTCCGTGATCACCTGAGCAGGAACTCATGTTCAGCACGCGTAGAAGATTGCGTGGTACCGTTTTTCTACCGCTCTGAGGTGCGAACCAATGGAAGAGTCCCGGAGCGATGCGGAATGCTCGGCTTGCTTGGCCTCTTTGCACAATTCACGAGCTGCAGTGATGACTTTTGCCTTCTCGCAGGACTTCTCAAGGTAACAGGAGATCCGGCCACCCTACAGAACCTGCCTATCATATCGCATCGTACTGCTTTCATGGCTGACTTTGCGGCTGAGACGAGCACCTCTCGTCTCTCAGCTGCCTCCATCAAGGCACGCCTCATCTTCGCCACCTCGAAGAGCAGAACTCTTGCGTGCGGATCAAAAGCAGCCGAAAACAACACCTGGACCTTGGCACTGGCATTCTCCTGTATCGTGTCCCACACGCCTGCAGACAGCAAGAAGCATCTGGGCAGTCAACAAGGATAATTATTGAGAATTCACAGCCAAACTACGAACGCAGACCATGCCTGGCATGCCAGCCCGGTACCGATAGTTCGGCTTGATTGAATGACCTTGAAGCAGCATGCCCAGACTGCTTTAGCACAGCTCGGCACGAAGATGCCGGCAGCCGATTGCATCAAAGAAACTCAGAAGGTCGGATCGCAATCCTGAAAGCCAACTGGCACTGTCTAGTAGTTCCGAACGAAAGCGGTAGACAGACTGTCCTGCCATCACTTCCGTCACACTGCGCCGCTTCTGTTGAAGGTGTGGCTGGAATCCTCAGGCCAGAAACTACACTGGGACGATCATCAACGAGCTCAAACAGCAGAAAGAGCCTTCGATGCCAGTGATGGACTCTTGACCCTGCTGCTGTTCAGCCTGATACTTGCCCAGCACCACAAGCATGACAAAGGTCTTTGCGAAGCGACCTTTGCCTGAGTCGAGACTCTTCGAGCGGGCTCGTTTGGATTCGCTGCTGCCTCCTGCAGCTGCACGGCACCCTACATGCATCGACAAGAATCGCATCCTGCCAACCATTGCCTCGTGCATCTCTGGCTGAGCGGCCGTCGCAGACCTCAGCATTATCGCCATGTTCGGATCAGACAGAACACCGGATTCCCGTGCGTGCAAGATGCTTGCGCCTCTCCCTGCCAGCCTAGGCAGCGCGACATCAAGCAACTGTCCCATGCCAGACAGATCCCCGAAGCCCCCAGCCTTGCAACACCTTGCCGCCGAGATTCCCAGGGCATGAGCTTGTGCAAGGAAGGTGCATCTTTGTCAGGCTCATTCTTTACCCACCGGCGAGGCGTCCTTCTAGAAACATTGAATGGGTTCAACAGGTCGGGCATCCGTTGGCATGCTTGCCGGCTGCACTCTCTGATCTTCAAGGCTTCATGTCAAGTAGCTCAAGTATTTACCAGGACAGGAACCAATGCGATTTTGCACCCTTTCAAAGCACTCGCAGTCCTGGCTGTTGCAGAAAGCCTGACCACCTTGCCATCTCCGGGGCCTCCGTCTCTTCAACAATGACAGCGGGTCTCACCATCTGACCAGCTGAGTCCGGGGACGGGAAACAGGCTGCCAGTGACGGCGATCGCTATCCAGGGCCACGCCCGCCGCAGCAATCAGACCCCCAGCTCCTGGAATTTTTGGAGTCGGGATCAGACGTTCAGCCTCCGTGCGGTGCTTTCTTGAGCCTGATGGTGTCGTGTGGCCGCGAGGAACGGTAGTGCCACGTCCATGAGCCTCTCTCTAAGTCTCTTAGGTTCAGAACCGAAAGTATGGAAGCCCAAACTGTCCATCAGCAATGCAGCCAACTGGCTGGTCGGGGAAACGAGATCTCGCGCTTGTACCCCAAAGGCATACCATGGGCGTACCGCGGCTACCCGAGCTGCGACATGTCGGTTGAAGCGCTTCACGAGACTGTGCCATGATCTTATTTGATCCACCTGCTTGTTCAAAGCCAACTATCTTTCTCTTTGCAGGATTTGAATGCCCAGGGCTTGCAACTTCCGACATCTTCCAGTCCTTTTGCTTCTTTTGTCTACTCGTATTTGTCTTTTCATCTCCGAAAGAGGCACAAATTGGACACGCAGATTGCAGCATGCCCATGAACTCACAGGACATCGGCTTTGCCTCAAGATCCGACTTCCAGGGCCCTACGTTGCAAGCATGTGGCAAGGTAAGGTGTGGGCAAACGACTCCGTCAGCCCAGGCTGCGCAGCTATAGGACTGATTCGTCCCGCTACCTGGGCCGGTATGGGAGGTCTTTCGTACACAGAACGAGTGAAGGCGACCGACAGAGGCAGCATGCCAGAACGAGTGCGCCCCGGCTCCCCTCTTTCATGTTCCTTCAAGACAGCATGCAGGGCCAAGCTTCGCCGACGGCGTGAAACAACCGAGTCTGTGAAGCTCTCTCTTGCTCTCGTCTTCCCCCCGCGCCCCAACTCCCCCTCGCAAGATGCGAAGGCCTAGTCCTGCTAGGCCCGTTCGGCCCACTAAGCTTCTTGCACTCGAGCTCTCTCTTCGTCTGCCTCTGGCACATTTGCCAGCGCCACAAATAAATAGAGACGGCCATGTGAGAGACTATATCATCACAAAACAACTGTCTAAGCTTCAGGCCATGGCGATCTCTGCAGAGCGCTGAGGATGTGCAGCGACCAGCTTCTCTGCCTGCAGAGATACTTCCTTGCCAGTGTTGGAGTCGTTTCCACCAGCCATAACGCTAAGGGCCCCAGATAGGATCCTAGTTGTGAGCAATCCCCGCATCCAACCAGGAGGGACTGGGCAAATGCCTGCTGAAGCAGCTCAGCTGCCGTGGCAGCATGCTGCGGCCGGAGCCCTGCAGACTCGTGGCGGCACTGTACATTAAACTATATTAAACTATACTAAACTATATTGCACGATTAAACGAAATTAAACTATATTAAACTCCCTAGCAGTGGGAACCCAAGTCCAAGCACAGACTCATACGAGGTGTGCCTCCGGCAGCTGCTGTTCGAGGAAGCCGAGCCGCAAGAGCCAAGAAAGCATCCAAGCCTCAACGACTCGCCACGGCGCATCGCTGCACCAAACTATTTTGCCCGGGCAAACCCTAAACCCCTAAACCCCTAATTAAACCCTAAACCCATAAACCCTAAACCCATAAACCCCCACACCCTAAACCTATAAATCCCTAAACCCATAAACCCTA